GGGAGGGAGGGAGGGAGGGAGGGAGGAAGGAAGGAAGGAAGAGAGAGAGAGAGAAAGAAAAGATGTAGAGAGAGACAGGGAACCCCCTAGAACATGTTGGCTATTCGATAGTAACCATATCAGTGAGCTCTAGGTTTGAGAGACACTGTATCATTCAATAAAGTAGGTTCCTGACATAAACCTCAGGCTTCCATGTGCATACACACATGTTCACAGCACACAGGTATGTGCCCACATCTTCAAACATAAACACACACACATACACACACACACACACACACACACACACTCACTCACACACAAAAAAATTTAAGAGTTCCCTTTACCTTCTTAATTGTTTTTTTGTTATAAGGCCTCTCAATGAGATATCTACCTCTTAATGAAATTTCAAGTATAAAATATATAACTCTTAACCTCATTGGTGACAATACTAACATATTACACTTTGGTAATATTAGTTCTCAGAAACTAAAATAAGAGCGCTAAACCACTCTCTCTTTTGCTATATGAGTGTGATTAGAAACTGAAGATTTAAGGCTAGGCTTCCCTTTGGAGAGGAAATAGGACTAGTTCTAGTGTGAGCTCTGGGAGAGCACTTGACCAAGACACACTCCAAAGAGCATTCTGAGAACTGCCCTGGTGATTCATTTTTAGATACCCAGGTAACCCAAGATAAAACTCAATCCTCACACTGACTAAAATCATTAGGAAAGAGAATCTTTCTCTTTTCTTTGAGTTCAGGTACGAAAACAAAAGATGAAAGAATTAAAAAAAGAGGAAGACATCGTTAAAGAACCTGGATCTATGGTGTCCAGAATTATCATTGTATTTTTTTAAATCAATGTGAGACAGATTTCTCTCACTTATAAATAAGTAAATTTTGCTGACATAAGAATAAATATTTTACACATGATAGTAGACTTTGAAGTAGCTTTAAAAAGTAGCATTGAAGGTGGACATGGTGGCCCACACCTTTTAATCCCAGCACTGTGGAGGCAGAGGCATGTGGATCTCTGAGTTCCAGGCCAGTCTAGTATACAGAGCAAGTTCCAGGACAGTCTGGGATACACAGAGAAACCCTATTTCAAAAAAATGACACCCCTCTGTACAAAAAAAAAGTAGCATTGATATGGTTCTTTACAATTTACAATAATGCTTAGACATTCATTTAATTCAATCAATACTACAGGAAGAAGTCTTATGATACATGTCACCATCATAGTAACTGGTGCCTTTATCCTGCTAAGCAATGGAGCAGACCTGAGTCCCTGATGTGAAAGATAGGTGGTTCCTGAATTGATCCAGGCTCTCAGTAATCTTAAATTTACTCTGTGTTGTGACTTTGTTGTTGTTACTGTTGTTACTGTTGTCACCTGTCCTCTATGACTACCAGTTTGGACAAAAACTATGCAGTAAGCCAGGGTTTGGCATTTTCTAATTCTAACTGCTTTGATTGCATCCATAAATCCCCTTCATATAGTTTCCTTCTGTGCCTTATAAACAGTCATTTTAGTTCATCGAATTGCTGTAATATTCCTTGAGGAGTCTCCTAAATATTAGTTTAGAATCCTAATATCCTTTAAAGCAGTAGAAGCCTTTCAGTATAAATAGATTCTAATCTCTGGAGCACACAGTTTTATTTGATTTCTGTAGAGCTGTCTTTCAAATATTTTTTAGACTGTGATTAATTTCTAAGTGCACATGACCACTATTTCTTACATCCATTTACCACTGTCAGTACCTGTAAAGGCATGAGTTACCTAAATAGCTAATCATCATCATATCATCACTACTACCACCACCACCATAATCACCACCACCATAATCACCACCACCACCATAACTACCACCACCATCATAACTACCAGCAATACCACCATCACCACCACCATAATCACCACCATCATCATCATAATCACCACCACCATGAAGAACAACCATAAAAATAAAAAGTAAAGACTCCTTTTAGACATGCACAATTCCAAAACCCTAAATGGATGATGGATATTGAATCCTTCCCTGCTGAGTAAATGTAATTCAGCACACCAAGGATTTCCTGAGAGTCAACTCTTGGCTTTTAGCCACAGGGTGGATTTACTTCCCTTATGAAAGGATGGGTAATGGTACTCTCAAGTTTACTAACATATTAGAAATACTTTTCTCAATTGCCTTTTTTGTTTATTTCACTAACTCTCTGTTTATTCTTGCTAAACAAAAATGCTTGGATCCCAACAGAGAAGCCTTTTGAGACCCATTTAACCATTGTCTTGAATGCTGAGAAAAGGACCCCAAAAGGGCAAATTGCCTGGCATCCACAAGAGAAGCCAGCTGTCAATGGAATCATTGATAGGTTTTAGGGATTAATTAAGCAGAAGTTCAGAATAGGAAATTAGTGTTCTGGCTCTGCCTTCATCAAATCTTTTCAGTAAGGCTTCATTATCCCATAATGAAAATAGAAAAGCTGCTTCTATTAAAAATAAATGGAGTAGATCATTGGAGGGCTTATTTACTTATTTGTTTGTTTGTTTAATTTTGGAGGTTTCTATTTATGGAGAAAGACATGGTAAAATGTGACAGAATTGTACTGAGAGGTCAAGACCTCTGTGTCTCCAGGACACGTTTAGAGCACAGCTATACTGACAGCTGTGCACTTGGTACATTTTCTAACTTGAATATTAAATCCCCACAGGTTCCTATGCACCAAGCTCATCCCAAGCTGGTGGTGGCTTTTGGGGACATGGTGGAAACTTTAGGTGACAGGACCTCATTGACAAAACTGGGTCACTGAAGACATGGCTTTGAAGGCTGCACTTGTTCCTGGGTTGCTGTCTGTCTGTTTCCTGTCCGCCACAGTGTAAAGAGTTCACACTGCCATTAAATTCTGCCCAGGTACATGGAAACAAACAGCCATGGCCTGAAACTGTAAGCTGAAATAAATCTCCTGTCCCTTAAGTTGTTCTCTTGGGTGTTTGTAACAATGATGAGAAAAATATATGCTGCAGTGAAGCTACTCTTCTATCGGCCATCCCTGACACCACCAAGACATGCGCTCTGGAAACACAATCTATTCCAGAGTGCATTTAACCAAGGTCTATTCCAGATTCCTTTAACCAAGAGGAGTTAATCTCCTTCATAAGCAATAAACCACCAAATGTTGTTTGTCTTATCCTCAAGTACACAGCCACTAAAATTAGAAAGAATGGATGTTTTTATATTGTTAGTTACCTGTATTATCCTTTCAGGAGCAAACTACATTTCTAATCCTTGCATTTACATTGAATAATATTTTCTCCTCTGACTCTGGAAATGGCCTTGTCCCATCTGGACCTCGTCTTCTCCTTAGATCTGAAATACATTGGGCTTGTGTAGAGTCAGGCAGTACTATTTTGCAAATGAGGGTTTATCTACAGTCTGGGTGTCCAACCTTTGGACAAGAGGAAGCAAGCAACACTGATCACTACAAAGTTCACTCATTGAGAATCTTACAGCTGATATAAAAATAAATGAAGAAATAAGTAAATAAACCTGAAAAAAAAAAGAAATATTTTCAACATCAGACACTCTCGAATCTTAACTCAAATTTAGCACCAAGGAGGCATACCACAATTTATAAAAAAGTCATCAGCTCTTGGGGCTGCCTCCTTTATTTTAGCCTCCTATTCCTCATGAATATAGAAAATATTTTCTACTGCAAACGTTACACTGTCGGGCAAAATAAGGCAGTTTAAAAGACAGAGAAGAGCCTGGTATAAAATGCATCAGAGAAAATGTACTCAGAAGAGAATGCTGACCTTGCAGCTAAGCAGATACAGAGAAGTTCCTTGATGCAGTTAGTGGTAAGTGTAAGCAGAGAACATGTGAGTCCAGCTTTAGAGATATATACCATATTTTATATATATAAAATGCTTGATGCAGAAATATATAGAAAAGAGAGTAAATAACCGGGCGGTGGTGGCACACACCTTTAATCCCAGCACTCGGGAGGCAGAGGCAGGTGGATCTTTGTGAGTTCAAGGCCAGCCTGGGCTACCAAGTGAGTTCCAGAAAAGGCGCAAAGCTACACAGAGAAACCCTGTCTCAAAAAACC